AAAAAAAAAAAAAAAAAAAAAAGAGTTGCTGTAAGGATTCAATGAGGTGATAAAGCCCCCAACCTAGATCCTGGTGGGAGCCCCCTTAATACTGCCTGTTAGGACATGGTGTGCATAACCTTCAACCCTCAGCAGTGACCCTAACGGGGAGGATTATCGAAGGCATTTACGGAGGAGGAAGTTAGGACTCTGGGATGTTAGGCACGTGTCCCAAATCACACAGCTGTGGCAGCGTCTCCATTAGAAGCCAGATCCGGTGGACCCCAAAGGCCAAGCCCACCCTTACCCACCACACCGTGCTGCCTTCCACCTGCAGCCGGAGGCTCAGGACAAGAGGACAGGGAGCTTAAGTCCTGGCAGGCAGCCCCCTTTCACCTCTGGCCCAGGTCAGTCGGGTCTGTGCCCTAAACGCTCACAGGCATCAGGTGAAAGTACCTACCCAGAGGCGATCAGCACCCGGGACTGGGCGATGGCCAGTCGCTGCAGGTTGGTCCGATTTAAGGTCGCCAGGGCCACCCTTCCCGTCTTGCCGTTGGCTCCGGGGGGGCTGGCAGGAGAGCCCATGGTCACCCCAGCCGGCGTGCCGGAGGCCTGTCGCCGGATCGCCTGCGACGGGATGGGCTTCACCGGGCCTCGGATGGTGCCCGTGCTGTCCAGCGGCTTGGCCGCAGGGCCTGGTGGGGGGGGCAGCCTGGCCGCCCCAGACGGGGGCATGTGCTTGCGGGCGGCCGGGGGCTGCAGCGGCCCCGCGCTCCCCCCGTTGGCCACGGCGGCCTTGACGCTCATCACCAGGACGCACTGTGGGCAGGAGCAGGGCGGGGCCGCGGGCGAGGCGGCCGACGCGGGGCTGGCCGGCCAGGACTGGGCCTTGGGCAGGGCGCCCGTGACCATGGGGTAGACGAGATCCAGGCGCCGGCGGACGCGGCGTTGGCGCTGCGTCTGCCGGTTGATCTGGCCCATGGTGCTGAAGTCGATGACGTAGCTGAAGCCGACAGAAGTGAGGTCGATCCAGGGGTGCTGCTTCTCGTAGGCGTGCTGGATGGTGATGCCCACCTCCATGTCGTAGGGCGTCCAAGAGCCGTTGTCATTCTCCCACTCCCACACCACGCCCTTCCCGGGCGCCGAGGACGGGTCGTAGTAGTTGCGGCGAACTGGGCGCAGGGTCCCTGGCAGAGGGGGACGGAGCACAGGGTAGGGGTCAGCAGGGAATGAAACCGGATTTGGTTAGTCCCGGCGGGCACTGGGCTGCCTGTTGGGGTATCAGCTTTGAGGTGGGGTGGGAGCATCTGAGTGACAGCGTGAAGGGTGTGGGGTTAGTGTGGGGTACCAGAAAAAAGCACCTGCCGGTTTGCAGTCCCGAGACCTTGGTTTGCAGCCAAATTCATTCACTTCCCAGTTTACGTAGAAATCCCCAACATCCTTTCCTTCCCGGAGAAACAAGGACTCCTTTGCAGAGTTTTTGTGAAAATAAATGCGATCTGCTTATTCATCTAACAAACAAATATGTATTGGAATATGGATGCCACGTCCTGGATCTCTCCTGCACCCTGCAATTTGCACTAAGGCCCATAAAGCCCTTGACACACAGTAGGCGCTCAGAAATAGCCCGTCACTTGTCCCCTACCCTGCAAATGCCCCTGCCCAGAGGGTTATGAGGAAAAGAACAAAGAGTCAGGATAGCCTAGAGGGCAGAGGAAGAAGATGAGACCCCCAGGAAGCCAGCCCAGCCTGGTGGAGTGAGAGCTCCCTCTCTGTCCCTTTAAGGGTGCAGCAAAAACAAAAATAGAAAATCAGGTTGCCAGAACTCTTACACTTTCGAGCATTAAATCTTCTATCAAAACAGTAATAATGATCATGATTATTTTCTATTTCTCTAACACTTTTCTTTCCCAAAGCTCAAGCCATCCTAAAGATAGGATTGTCTTGATTTTTAGTCTCACTGGGGGAAGGGAGAGCAGGGAAGAGGCCAGGATTATTTCAGGGAAGCAGTACAGAAGAAATGAACCTACAGGTTCAAAGGGACTCGAAGGAAAAGGAAGTCTATAACTGTTGCCTCTTTCTCCCCGACCCACCCTAAGACTGAATTCAGACTCATGCCCAATCAGGGCTCATTTCATGGCTATCAACATCAAGGCCGAAGATGCCTGGGTCAAGGCAGGGTGAGGGGACCTGGGAGGGCTCCAAGAGTGCCTGAATCTCGCATCTGTCAGCTTAGGCCTTATCCATCAGTGGTGGGAAAAGGCTCCCCTTTACAGGCCTCTGACCCATCCCCTCCTCCAACCCAGAGGGAGACACCAAGGCCGGGGACAGAATTCCATTCAAGGGGGGAAGAAAAGGAACAATGTCTATTCAGTCCTTTTCCAGGGTCATAACCCGCCCCCCACCCCAACTCCAAGCCCCTTAATGACCCAAAACATCAACATTCAGAGGCAGGAGGGTGAAGAAAACAATCCCCTATTCAGCACCAGGACGCTGCTGGGGGATCTGGGGAGGGGGGAGCGGGATGGGAGGAAGAGAGGAGGAAGAAGGGGGGTGGGCAGTAGTTCCCCGGTTTGCCTCCATTTCCTTCGTAAGTAGCCAGCTCACTGGGGGACAAAGAGCACAGGCTCTAGGTCCAACAGCAGAGGCTCTGTCCCTTCCAGCTGTGCGACTGAGCCTCAGTTTCCTCGTCTGCATCTGCCTGGGTCCTGGGGAGCTACTTCAAAGGGTGGATTTGAGGATTAAAGGAAGGAATGAATAGAAGGGGCTGAAATCGCACCTGCCCCATGCCAAGAGCTCACTAAAAGTTGGTTGATTATCATTGTAATTTATTTTCTATTATATGTCCAAGCGGGATGGAGAAGTCATGGTAAGTTTAGTTCAGAGGATATCTGTGGGGTGTGGGGTGTGTGTGTGGGGGGGGG